TGAATCCCATTTGGTGGGTAGCATTATCTATTATTAGTGAGTCTGCTTCTCCACTCTTTGAGGGCAGGGTTCTTGCCTCTTTGTTGTCACATACTCAGTGACTGGCCAGGGTGCAGGAGAGTGTGTGCATGGGGTCAGGCAGAACTGGCCCATGGGGACAGTGTTTCAGAGGCAGCGGAGGCTGCTGCTCACCTTGTCATTGTTATGTAGGCTTGAGTCTAGGGGCCGACCCTTCCCCTATAACATAGTGGTCTGTCACCAGAGGACTCCAGAATGCTGCAGAATCAGAATTATCTGTGCTTTTCCAATTTCCCAGCCCCTTGTTTTCCGAATTGGATTGCTGCCGTGTATGCGAAGGTGTTGAAAAAAGCTTCTCTGGCTCAGGGAAAATGCTTGACATTGATGTTGATTACTTTGCTGATTGCTGGTGCAGGTAGACATCAGTAAAACAGAAAATCTGGGAAAAGGGGCTTATGTTAAGGCAGTATCAATCATCATCCTTTAAGGGTACTAATTGCCATTATAATGTGATTGCTGTGCAGCTCAGCACAGTCCTGTATGTGGCTCATCACGGTTTATTCCTGAAGGAACTTGCATGTGAATGTGTAATTGACTCAGATCCTTGGACTCTAGGATTCTATCATAGCTGCTTTTTCTTTTTTTTCACTTCCCAGAAAAAAGAAATTAAAGGCTGGAATAGTGGTGTCAAAATTTTGAACCCCTCGGTCTCTGATACCTGCTAAGATCTTCGGCAGCTGCTCACCTGCCAGTGAGTGCCAGAGGGTGGCAAAATGAAGAACCAAAAACCAAGCCCTGGGCCAAGGGGAGAGATGCAGTTAGAGGCAGGCACTGCTGTCTCCTATGGCGCTGTTTCCTCTTCGTCTCAGGGAGCCTGGCTCAGAGGAAAGGACTTGTGTGCTCACCTGGCTGTCTGGGGCTCTGCTATCTGCCAGGACAAGGGCCCCTGGGGAATGAGTAAAGGTGCATCGTCTGCTTTTAATTTGTGAGATGCTGGGTCTGCCAGCACATTGCTTGGCCCTGCCTGTCTCCCCACCTGGGACGTTAGATGCAAGAATAGTACAGGTTGGGTTCAGGGATGACCACAGCCAGGAATGCATAGGCCTTTTGTGTAGGGGACAGTTGCTCTGAGGGGACCTCATTCTGATGGCTATGGTGTGAGGGAGGTTGGCAGGGATGATTGGACAGAGATGTGTGTAGGCCAAGTGGTTCCCAGCCAGTAATGATCTCACCTGTCTTGGGAGTGTTGATGGGAAAGGACTGGCAGTCTTGATTATGCTGTAACCCTGCCAGGTCAGAAGGACATTGCCTTTTCCAGGCCCGGAGATTCAGGCTCAGTTATCTTGAATCTGTTCTAGAGGCCTCTTGCCCAAAGAGAAATGGAGAAGTTCAACTTGACATTCCTTCACTCAAGCCATGTCTATCTTGTATAGCCTCTCAGTTGTCCCTTTGCACTATACTACCCATCACTGCCTGCAGTCAGACATAGGTCTGTGTCCACTTCTCCCCTCTTTGACCCAGTGGGGGCCCCAGTGAGCTGGGCAAGCCTGTGGCTGGGATGCTGCTATGTGCATGACAGGTGCTCCAAAGGCTTACTGAACAGCTGAACGAAACGAAAGGGCAGTCTGTTAATGTCCTTGGTATATACCTGTTCACCATCAAAACAGCCTGAGATTTTCCTGGCTGTACTCACCATTCTGAAGTATCTGCTTAATAAACACTGGGAGAGGGCCCGGTGCGATGGCGCAGTGGTTAAGGTCCTCGCCTTGCACACCCGGGATCCCATATGGGCGCTGGTTCTAATCCCAGCAGCCCCGCTTCCCATCCAGCTCCCTGCCTGTGGCCGGGGAAAGCAGTTGAGGACGGCCCTAAGCTTTGGTACTCTGCACCCATGTGGGAGACCTGGAAGAGGCTCCTGGCTTCCGATCGGCATAGCATCAGCCATTGCGCCCACTTGGGGAGTGAATCATTGGATGGAAAATCTTCCTCTCTGTCTCTCCTCTCTGTATATCTGCCTTTCTAATAAAAACAAAACAAATCTTAAAAAAAAAAATAAACACTGGGAGAAGTTAACCCCTAGGATTTAACTAAAAGGGAAACCATGGTGGGAGAGAAGGTGGGTGAAGGAAAGTGATGGGTGCTGGTTCTAATCCTGGCAGCTCCACTTCCCACCCAACTCCTTGTTTGTGACCTGGGAAGGCAGTTGAGGATGGTCCAAAGCCTTGGGACCCTGCACCCATGTGGGAGACCTGGAGGGAAGTTTCTGACTCCTGGCTTTGGATCGGTGCAGCACTGGCCATTGTGGTCACTTGGGGAGTGAACCACTGGATGGAAGATCTTCCTCTCTGTCTCTCTTGTTCTCTGTATATCTGCCTTTCCAATACAAATAAATAAATCTTTTTTAAAAATGATGATGAAAAGAAACAACTTGGAACCTGGTCATTTATGGCAGGGAGATTTGTCGCTTTTATTAACATTCAGAGCTTCCTGCTGTTCACTTGAATTTTTTTGTTGTTGTTGGGAAAGATTTTCAGGGACATAGTTAACCTCCTGTACAGCTGTGTTCTCAACATGTGCCCTGAGCCACAGTCAGAACCTGATCAGAACCATCAGAGAGCCCACCAGTTCTGCATGGAACCCAGCCTGTGGCCATCCTGAGGATGGACAGTGGGAGCTGAGATAATGGAGAGGAACAGCAGCCTACAGGCCCTCAGGGCTGGGCAGCAGGCATCACAGCCTCCACCTGGCTTTGTGACTGTGGGACAGCCTCCCTATGTGGAGCTGTTGCTTTTGAATCGAACACATCCCTTGACTTCTCCCAAATGCGCCTATCTGTAAAATGTTACAGTTACAGAACCTGCCATTTAAGGTTGCTCTGAGAATTAAGGGAGTTACTGTATGTGGAAGGTCTTAGAACTATGCCTGGGAGAATAAGTCACCCAAATGTCTCAGCTATGGGGGCTGGCATTAGGGAATAGTCGGACAAAGCTGCTACCTATACAACCAGTATTCCATATGGGAGTTGGTTTGTGTCCTGGCTGTTCCACTTCAGTACATCTCCCTTCTGATAGCCTGGGAAATGCAATGCAAGATGTACCCCTTGCCACCCATGTGGAGACTTGGGTGAAGCTCCTGGGTTTGACTTGGTCAAGTATCGTATGTTGTAGCCTTATAGGGACTCAACCAGTAGCAGGAAGAGATTTCTCTTTCTGTCTAAAATAAATGAGGACCCAGACTGAAGGATGTACCTGAGTTCCAGCTTTCCCACCATAGTGCCATGTGTGGTAGATATCTGGGTTCTGGTGCCTTCAGTGCTGCTGAGTAAACTGCTCAGGATAGGGCCAGGACAGAGTAGGGACCACTGAGGACTCAGTGTAGAATGGTCACTAAGGGACTCTCTTGGAGAGGACACTGCACCCATCTGAGAATGAGAGGGACTTGGGGCTGGTCAAGAGCTCTTCCTGGACCTGTGTTCTGTACCTGCCTGTGTATATGACAGCCAGGTCTTGGGGTGGGTTGGGTCATGTACACTCGATGGTCTCACCTGGGCCAGGCCCGTGTACTCTCAGCCACATGTCAGCAGGGATATGATCTACACACCAGGCCAGGTTGTGTACCCACTAGTGTATGTGTCACATTTGGGTTTGAGCCGGGCATAGGAGTTGGGGAGTTCTCCCTGGGACAGATCGCTGTATCTGCTGAGATTCAGAGTCGGAGGAAGGTTCCAATTGTTAAGAGATGGTATAAATTCTAGCAGAAAACATTGTTTGGACCTGGGTATTGAACCAGTGTATAGTGCTTGCATTTACTGAAAATGAAGAGGGAGGAGGCCATGACGCCTGCTTGTATACCTGGACTGGGCTCTGCTGCAGCTGCCCAGAGATGGTGCAGAGCCCTTATGTTAAAGGGGTTAGCCCTTCTTTCAGGCACCGTCTTCAGTCAGTGTCTCTATGATGCTCACGTTTCTGACTGCACAAATCTGGAACTGCTCGAGTCTTTTCTTTTCTTTTTCCTTTCTTTCTTTCTTTTTTTTTTTAATCTAAGTTAGGAGCAGAGAAACGTAGAGACACATGCAAAGTACCTTGTTTTGCACCTGTCCTTGGGAGATAGGGTGTGACACCTTCCTGCCACATCCCTGTCCTCACCGAGTGGGGGTGCCATTGAGCAGGTGGCCAGAGTTATTCTCAAAGTAGCTCTTACACTGAGGCAGTTCTGAGTGATGGAGGACGTGCCTGTAGCTAGGGGTGGAGTTTACAGCCCCCACTCTGCTCTGCTGACACTCCAGTGTCTTGGTAAATTGTTCTGATGAGCAGATCCCACCCTGAGCCATCTCTTAGTTACTCAGGTAGGATACAAGGGGCTGGTGAATAATAAAGCTGCTCCTGAACTGAACAAATCCTAAGGATGTGGAGTCTTCCTCCAGGAAGAACCAATGTCAAAGCTAGTCCGATTCCTTATTGTACAGTGCAAGATAAAGGAACTGGCATGATGGCTCGATTGGTTAATCCTCCTCCTGCAAGCACCAGCATCATATGTGGGTGCCAATTAGTATCCTAGCTGCTCTGCTTCCCATCCAGGCAGCAGAGGATGGCTCAATGACTTGGAACCCTGAACCCACGGACGACCTGGAGGAAGCTCCTGGCTTCTGATAGACTCAACTCCAGCTGTTGGAGCCATTTGAGGGAGTGAACCAGTGGATGGAAATCTGTCTCTCCTCCTCTCTGTAAATCTGCCTTTCCAATACTTATAAGTAAATCTTCAAGATAGCAAGGTACAAGGAGGACCTGGGAACAGCTGCTTGGCGCAGGGCCCTCTCTTTCCTTGTCTGGGAGTTGCTGCTGTTGCTGTAACCTGGTGTCAGACTGGCCTCCTGGGTTTGCAGGAACATTTGTTTAGCCTAGGTGCCTCTAGCTTTTTTTTTTTTTTTTAGAATAACCTTATTTTGTCCCATGGTAATTAAGCTGTCTTTGGGGATTTTACAGTGACCTGTTAAATAACCACAGAAACAGCATTACTGAATTGGAGACTGTGGCTTTGAAATTGTACTGCAGTGTTCTGAGCACGGTGAACTGCTGGCTGGTCCTGAACTGGATTTCAGGGTCACAGATGAACCCTTCTGAGTAAGTACACCCCGCTCCCCAACCTCCTACCCACACCGAAATCTGAATGATCGTGGGTACTGGCTTGTGCGTGGCCAGGCATACAATTAGCCTGTGGTGAGATTTTCCCTGTTGTCCCCGTGGTTGCTAGCGAATGCTCATTGGTGTTCTGTATGCACTTGAATTTCTGTACATGTGTGCTTTCTGTAGTGCATCTTGTTCTCTCTCTCTCTCTCTCTCTCTCTCTCTCTCTCTCTCTCTCTTTCTCTCTCTCTCTCTGCCATCGTTCCTGCAGACTGCACACACTTAAGGTGAATTTCATAGTACATCTTGGTCCTTGCACTCCCAGCCTGGGGTTCTCCAGAGGCATTTCCATTTGGATATTTTGAGCTCCTGCTCTCTCCCGCCGCCTCCTCCCTAGCCGCTGCTTAAGCAGAAGGTGTGTAACAGGGGATGACACACGGAAAGTGCGCAGTAAATGTTGTGGCTATGGTTTTTCTTACTAGTCATTTATTCCCATCTGATTGACAAACAGCTTTAAGCAGCAGTAAAATGCAGAAAATAGAAACCTTGCTGACAGCCTCCGGTGTAGAATTTGAATCAAGGCATTCTTAAGTCTTGCTAGTGGCAGTGCGAATTGATACACTTCTGAAAGAAACATTGCCAACATAACTGCCTCAGAAGAAGCCAAGACATCCTCTGACTTGGACAGATAATTTCTTCGTTCTTCTAAATGAAACATGTTTAAACTTTAATTTTACTGTAAAGGTAGGGTCAGAGACACAGTTCTTCCAATTGTGAACATATACATAAAATCATTCATGTAAGAATGGAAGACAGGTTTGTCACACCTTTATATAGGGAAATTGAAAATAAAATGAGTGTCTAAAACTGGTTTTATTTAAGTAAAACAACCATCTCTGAATGTATACTAGATTAGTTTGTGAATTGTGATTCAAAAGATGGGGAAAAAGTTTGGAGTTAAGATCAGTGCAGGCTACAAGAAACAACCATGCCATTTGTGATATAAATGTATGGCTAAACATGCCATACATTTGTATATATGGCTGGATGGTGTGTGTATGTGGGACAGTGCTGCAGAGAGATAATGCAATTGACTGTTGATTTTTTTTTTTTGATGCAAGAAAATTTAAAACTATGTGTAAATCTTTTTCACAATACGCCTTTTCCGTGACCTTTCTGATGAACTTGTTTGTGTGTATGGGAGACACCAAACTAAGTGGATAGATATCTTATTGCATCCACTCAACTGCTAAAATAGAATATTACATTCACCAGTGAATCACAACAAAGTTTTATTATAAATGAAAGGCAAGGCAACTGGCTGGCTGGCTGGCCCAAACCTACACCCCTTACCAGAGTGTGGGCCCTGAATAGCACATTGACAGGGTTTTTATAGGGGCAGTGCACAATAGCCTACAAGGTGAGGGAGGAAATGCCACACGTTCCCTGCTTATCTTGGCTGGACAGTCCATGCATAGCTCTTCTCTGGTCTAGCAATTAAGGTAACCACCTACTTAATTACTTGGAACCACCTGTGAGATAAAACCAGACTTGGGCCTTGGAGCCATCTGTGCCTAACTGAACTTGGGCCTGGATTCATGAGACTTCGGGCCCATCAGTGCTGAAGGTCACATAGGCCATTTGGCCTGCAAGCTTAGTTTCTTAGTAGCATTGAGCCATGTTTACTCAATTTTGTTTTCCACTTTACAGTCTGATGATGGGTTTCTATAGTTAACTTGCAATCTGTGCATTTCCAGTATTCATCCAATGTTTGACAAAGAGCAAGTGTTGTGTTTCTGTCAGAAATAAGGCAGCTCCAGCACTTGGAAAATCAGGGCTCTAATTGCTGGTGTGAGGGTTCCAGGAGAGCAAGAACTCAGTAAGGGAGCCAGTTTCCGGGTGATCCCCAACACAAGGTGATGGGCTGCTCTCCTCAGCAGCCCTTCTTGCCCGCCCAGAATGTGTGCCCAGCTCTCTGCGGAGCCCTAGCCTGATAGGAGCCCCTCTTGGTCTCCTTGACTAAGGAACAGTCTCCCCCTCCTTGACTTTGCCAGAGGATTTGTGGTTTCTGGGTTTTCTGCCGAGGCCCTGTGGGATTTGCTGAGAGGCTGTTTAATCAGAAGTGATGAAAGCTGGCTTCTGCCTGATCCCGTTTTTGGATCCCATTTCCCGTTCTCCTTCGCTGTCTCCCTGGCATTCCTGTCCTTGCTGTTCTCTGCATACCATTTTAACGGGGTAAAAATAAACTTTGCTTGCTGCTCAGAATTGATCCTGAGCAAATCTATCTTTTGGCTGGGCCTGGGTGCCAGATGGCCTTGTACCCCCTGCTGGGTCATGGAATTGTCCTTTGGGAAGAACCTTGAGTTGCTCTTGACTCTATCTGGGAGCATTCACCACCAAACTCTGCGGGTGGCAATTTGCATTTGTTTGTTTTTCTCTCCCTCTCCCGATTTCAGGAAGGAGAAAGAGGTGACTTTGTGGAATCTTCCCATGAATGGACTCAGCTTTACTGCTAGTATTAAGAATGTGTATCCCTAAGCTACTTAACGTATGTTGTGTCAACTTCTAACAGAAGTATATCGTTTCTCCTTGGAGCTGTCTGCAATGGTTGCTTTAAAATACAATGCCAATTGGGGCCAGCATTGTGGGGCAGCACATTAAGCCACTGTTGTATTGCCAGACTCCCCTGTGGGCTCCAGTTCTGGCTGCTCCATTCCCAGTTTAGCTTCCTGGTAGGTAATGTGCCTGGGAAAGCAATGGAAGATGGCCAAAGGCTTGGGACCCTGCTGGAGACTCAGATGGAGTTCCTTGTTTCCTGATTTCAGCTTGCCCCAGCCCTGGCCACTGTAGCCATTTGTGGGGGTGAACCAGTGGATGAAGATCTTTCTCTTCCAATTTCTTTAACTCTGCCTTTCAAATAAAACCAAAGCAGAATATTACTTCAGCATTAGGGAGAGCAGGATTTATAGATGCTAGTTTGAGGAAAGCCAGAAAAAAAAAAGGAGTTTGTGGCTGTTAATAGCACCTCCATGGTTGCACACACTCTCATTCATTCTTGCTATAACCTTGGGTAGCAATAAGCAGGTCCAGGAAAGAATATTACCTGTGTCTACTCATTATTTGGTCAATAGCTTTAAGATAAGATAGCTTATGTGCTGTGTAGGGATAATAAACATGACTCAATGCAATCTGTGGCTCATACGCTATAAAATAAATAGTGGGGGTGTTAAGGATCAATGAGATCTGCCAGCGTGAATTTGTGTCTCTCCCCACGGTAGGTCTGGGTACCTTCCCTGTGGAGAGAGTGCAGTGGGTTTGGAATCCTGCCCCCTTCTAAGGGGCTTCGTTGAGGCGCAAGTGTTATTAGCTCTGTCCTCACTCTGTCATAGTTAAGGCCCTGATTCAGTATCTTCCCTGAATGCCCATGCCTTCTCTTGACACAATAGGTGTTTTGATGTGCAGGTGGTTCATTCTGCCACAAGAACCTCAGTTCAGGAAGGTGATAAAGAAGCTGAAATTCTGTGTGGTTTCCTCAATCTCTTTGCCCAGGCTCAGGAGTTATCATAACTGCAAAGGTCACATGTCTGTCTTATTTTCCAATTTTGTGATCTCCGGTGTTCCCCAGAACACTGTTGGCCTCAAAGGTAGGTGACCTCTAACATGGAAACACCCGTTAGCCTAATCCTGTAAGCTTGTCCGATTCCTTCAGGTTCCTAAGCCATAGCTCATTGTGTACCTACCCCCAGAACATGACTTGTTTCTGAGTTAAAGGCTACTGTCACAGACTGGAATGCTTATTGTCAGCACTTAGTACATTTTTGAATTTGGGGAAAAAAAAAAAAACCCTGCAAGTGTGAGTTTTCTATTTTTGAGGAGGATTTCCCTTTTCAAAGTTTCTGAAGTGTTTGGATTTTACTCTGCACACTCGGTAATGATTTATCCTCTTGCAGTACAATTTTCTAAAAGTTATCCTAGAAATTTCAGAGGGCATAAAAAAGTCTCAAACCTGTGAACAGGGAGTCAGAAGTTTGCTTTGTTCTTATACACCGTTTGGGGTGTGGCATGTGGTGCTGTAATTGTTATTTCTAGCTCTGTTTCCTCCTTCAGCCTCACCCATTGTTGAGTTGCTCCTAATCAGCATTGTGTACAAGTGCATCCCTCTGTAAAACTTACCTCAACCTTTCTGATGCCGGTAATCCTGCCTGTATTGGGTGCCTGGGATGCATATGAGTGTGTGTGGGTATGCGTGCTTGCAAGAGCTTCTGGTTGGCTGGAATCATATGTTTCCCTTAGTTGGCTTAATTTGTGATGATCACAATAAGAAATGGGCTTTATTGGGCTGATGTGTTGGCTCAGCTGCCTAATCCTCCACCTCCAAGTACCACGTGCCATATGGGCACTAGCTTGTATTCCAGTTGCTCTACTTCCAATCTAGCTCCCTGCTTGTGGCCTGGGAAAGCAATGGAGGATGGCCCGAAGCCTTGGGACACTGCACCCACGTGGGAGACCCGGAAGAGGCTTCTGGTTTGTGGCTTTAGATCAGTTACTTTGGGAGTGAACCAGTGGATGGAAGATCTGTCTCTTTTTGTGTAAATCTGCCTTTGCAATAAAAAAAACCTTAAAAGAAAAAATGGACTTTATCCTATGTGTTGGGCTGGAGGAGGAAATAGGCACACCTGGGCGTGTAGGCTGGCTCATGTTGCCCAGCAAGTCACTTCATGTATCTGATCATCCAGCAGAGTTGTTTGTGGATCTCCCTGCAGCTTTTAGATGCCATGGGTCTGTGAGTCAGACAGATCTGCATTATATTTTGGATATTCCATGGTAAAAAATGAACAGGATGCAAGTGAATTTAAAGCCATTTTCTCCCCATTTTTCATGTGGGTGAAGCTCCTGTGTAGTGCTGTGGGACTGCTGTTCTTGAGAAGTTGATCTCACTCATTGCTTAGTGCTGTATTCCCTACTTAACAATAGATGCTGACGTTGTCACGTGGGGT